CGATAACTATAGGGTATAGTGTTTCTGTACACCCATTAATGGTCTTGATTATCATATGTTTTTGCAAAGGCTCCATGGGACAAAACTGAAAAGTAATGTCGATATCTATCATTAATTCTTACAAGCCATGCAATATTTACTTTGGTCAATTTCCAGTAAAATAAACCAAAAAGACTTGCAATAATGCATTTGTACATTCAAGCCTTAAAAAATATTCGATCTTCAGGTTACAATATCGATCTCTTCGTTTTGTCACATCCTTCGGTGCAATGAAACTAAACAAAAAAGGTCTATATCCGCAATTTTTACTATGTTTGAAATTTACCCAAAGAAAATGACAAATCACATTTTTTTGAACAGCAAGCAAGCAATAACATTAACAAAGCAAAGCCAAAGTAACCATCTCCACAATTTCACAGCAACACGAATGGTGAGGAAAATGTGCTCCATATCTTCATCAAACAGTCGACAAAACATACATAGTCTCGAGTTCAAAGTAATACCTCTCTTCAATAAATTGTCATAAGTCGGAATTTTATTTTTGAACAATCTCCAAACGAAGCAGTTGATCTTTAAAGGAATCCAGTTAACCCAATGAAAAACCTCAAAATTATTGGTAGATGAACCAACAATGAGACTCCTAGTCGCCTTCACAGAAAAAGAATTACTGCCATCACCAACCCACAGCCACCTGTCAAGACCATTATTCAACAAACTAAGTAAATCAAAAAATTGGACAGCTTCTCTCCCATTTTGCAGCTTCCTAGACTAATTCCATGACCACCGAGAGCTAGAATCAGACATCACAACAACTATGTCTAACACCAGACAATTTTTATTAGATTCCACTACATACAAGTTGGGAAAAATATCCTTTAAAGTTGTATCTCCACACCATACATCCTTCCAAAAAAATGTTTTATCCCCGATGCCTACACATCTTTTAAAAAGATCCTTAAGAACAATTACGTTATCGCCGACCTCAACATCAATTTGCGAGATCTCAAGCCAAACTCCTTTTAGAGATTTCTTTGCTAAAGGTTTTCCATCAATAAGCTTATGAAGAGATTTTATCAAAGTTCTAAATAGTGTAAGGCGTGATTTGGCGTCAACGTCAAGCCTCAGGCTTTTTCAAGCCGTGGCGAGCCACATCGTCTTTAAGGCATGACTTAAGACGGAAAATGTGTATATAATTTTAATAGTTTTATATATATTTTCTACTATTATTCATTTTTATACACATATATGAATTAAGACGACATTTTGTTAAAGCTTGGCGGCAAGTACAAGCCTTGGAGTCATGACACGCCATGGTGAGCTTTTTAGAACCTTAGATTTTATACAAGAAAACCAAAACGTATCGAACCCATTATTGAGCGGCCACCACCATTTAGCAAGGAGCGCTAAATTAGCCGAATCAAGGCAACCAACTCCAATACCGCCTTTCTCGTTAGGTCGAATAACAACATCCCAAGACACCCAATGTTTTCTTTCTTGAGATCATCACCACCCCAAAGGAACCTCTTTCTAATACTCTCAAGAAGATGAATAACTTTCTTAAGGGCCCGAAATAACGGAAAATAATAAAGAGGTAAACTATTTAAGACCGACTTCACAAGAGTAAGACGACCGCCAAAAGACAAGGACTTCGCTTTCCATTTAGAAAGTCTAGCTTTAAATTTCTCAATAACCGGCGACCAATTTTTAGCAAGCCTAATATTAGCACCCACCGGCAGCCCAAGGTAGGTAAAAGGGAAGGAAGCGGGCTCACACTTCAAAATGCTAGCAAGTCGTTACACCTCCAAGCTATCCACACCAACACCATATACCTTACTCTTATTCATGTTCACCTTCAAGCCCGAAGCAAGATAGAAACAATGAAGAAAACGGTCGAGATTGATAAAGTTTAACTCCGACCATTCACCAATGAAAATAAAATCATCAACATACATTAGGTGTGAAATAGAGAAACAACCATTTGGAAGAGAGATACCCCTAACATGATGAAGATCACACGCTGCCTCCGTCGAAACATGAAGCCCCTACATAGCTATAATGAAAAGTAAATGGGCCAAAAGATCTCCTTGTCTAACACCTCTCGTGACATCGAACTCCTTTCTAGGGGGGGCGTTAATTAAAACGGGTGTTCTGGTAGAGGAAAGACAACCCGAAATCCATCTTCTCCATTTCCAATCGAATCCCATTTTCTCCATAATTGAATCAAGGAAATCCCAACTTAAGGAATCAAAATAATGTCGAAATCTACTTTGAAAATAAGAGCTTTTTCTTCACCTTTTTAGACCAAGAAAAAATCTCATTAAGTAGCAGGAAACCGTCCAAAATACTTCTCCCTATCACATATGTCGATTGTTCTGGGCTAATAGTTTTGGTAATGACTCTCTTGGGTCGATTGGCAAGGACCTTAGAGAGCACTTTGTAGAGACACCCGACAAGATTCACCGGTCTGTAATCTTTCAAATAAAGAGGGTCCTTTGATTTTGGAATAGGAGAAATAAAAGATAAGTTGCAACCTCTGGCTAAGATACCAGAGTCACCAAAGTCACGAAGAAACATAATCACATCATCTTTAATCAACTCCCAATAAAATTTTAAAATTTTGAAGGTAAACTCGTCCGGATCCGAAGCCTTGTCCTTTCCACAACACCGAACAACATCTTTAATTTCAGCTTCAGGAAAAGGCTCCATGAGAACAGCCCTATCAGAATCATCAATCTTCCTGAACCTGTTACTTATTAACTTAGGTCGATTATACAAATGGTTCACTAAATTTTTTTTGAGAAAAAGTTCCAGACTTCATCTTTTATCTTAACCGGATCATTTATCCATAACCCATCAATAACAAGACCATTAATACGATTTTTCCTTAAATTATTATTCACCACCCTGTGGAAAAATTTTGAGTTCTCGTCCCCATCAACATTCCATCTTAAAAGATCCTTTTGCTTGAGATCTGACCTATGAGTATCACCAATTTCCATCACACGTTTTTTTTCCATTACTAACGACAAGCTCTCTCGGGGGGTTAAAAGAGGTCTGATTTCAGCCTTGAGCTCCAGATCATCAATCTTCAAGAGTAAACAATTAAGTTCCTCCAATTCTTTCCATTTGGAGCCAGCTCTCCAAATTTTAATATCATTCTTCACATCAATTATTTTTTTTGTCAGTCTCCTATCCGAAGTTTATGAAGGCGAGCAATTCATCCAAGCTTTCTTCACCACCTCATCAAGTCCTTCCAAAAAGCACCACGAGTTGAAGAATCTAAAAGGACAAGGTCCAAAATCATGAATTTCACTCAAAAGCATAATCAGGCAATGATCCGAAAACCTCCTAGGAATAATTGTGGCCGACGATAAGCCTCATTTGTTCATAAAACCCTCACATGCAAGGAACCGATCAAGTTTGCTGAGATTTCTACCATCTTCACTAATCCAAGTGAATTTTCTACCCCCAATCTGAATTCAAATAACTTAGCATCATCAATAAAAGAGTTGAAAGCTTTTATAGAGGAATTACACCCCCAATTGTAGAATATTTCCTGATTGAGTCTGATCTCATTGACGTCACCCATTAACAGCCATCAACCAAACATATAATTAATAAAACTAAGCAGGGAACACCAAAGAAACAATCTGGCGTCATCATCCACAAGGGCATACACGTTAACAATATATGTGATTCCATTCATTCCACTCCAAAAACCTGAGATTAGGATAAAATTGGAATCGAGAATGACATTTACTTTTTTTTTTAACCATCCTAAGATCTTTAACCCAATTCGAAAACATAACCATCCTAGAATTTCTCTATAGGAATATCACACGCATCTCTAATTTGAGTCTCTTGAACACTAATGAAGCTATTTGATGCCACATCTTAAGATCTTTAACCCAATTCGCCTTATGAACACCTCCCGCTCCTCAAATTCACCGATAAATAATTCATTTAAGACCCGTACAAACCACTTCTCCTTCAGTGACACTCCGTAAGGCCTGACTCACACCATCCAAGTTAAAACCAATTTCCTTACCCAAATCCATGGTTTTTTCAAGTTTCATGGAAATTGAGTTCCTCGAATCAGTGGAACAATCCACACTTCCGCTACCTCTTGACTTCCTTGCGATACTTACAGCACAAGATCTTGAGTGAGCCGAGAAATTGCAAGCTCGAATAACATCCTTGAGTTTCAACGACGTCAGGACCTGCCTCTTCGAACCTTTTCTATTTTTTGACATGTTCCCCAAAGAATTTGACGACCTTAAAGAATCAGACTCAAATATCACATTTTTGTTTAGATCCGGGATCACTTGGGCATTATCCGAACTATCTTTCTCCTCATGTGAGCCTAATTGAACACAATTTGGGCTCCAGGAAGAAGGCTCAATTTCATTTTCATTAAGCGGCCCATCTTCTATCTTATCTACTCTATCACATTCTAAATCGTCAATATCAACATCACCCATGCCAGCGTTATTAACAAAACCAGGAATCGAAGCGTCTCTAGTTTGAGATGAATCGACTTCCTCGAAAAACTCTCCTTCTTCCTTCTCAACATTATTCTCCGACACATCACCGACTACCTTCAAGCCGAAATCCGACAACCAAGCAATACAATTATCAGAAGAATTTTATTAATCAACTCATCAACCTCATCCTTAAACTGACCATCTCCATATTAATCAAAATCATTGTCTGACTCCAAGTCAGAATTATTCTCCAAACTGGGAGGAATCCACCCCTGTCCATTTTCTCTACCCTGACAGTGAACTTATTATTTCTCTATATCTCCTCCATGCATTGATTGATAATTTTATCTTGCTTCACTAAAATACACATCCTGCCATAAGAGATCTATTGCATCCCTGGAACATTTCGAATGGAATTAGCACTCTGCCAAATTTACTTGCAACCGCCTCGAAGAAAACTGGATCCCAAAGATGAACTGGCATTCCACATATCTTAATTCATGCAATTCTATGCATCTAAACAAAAGAATCATCCCATACTTTTAGCCAAGAGAACCAAGCTCTCCATCCTTCAACATCGTCCTTTAAAATAATTCCAGCAACACTCCTACCAAAGTCCAATAAGACATTCAAGCCTCCCAAATATTTCAACGAACAATCAACAAGATCCGAAGAGCAAAAAATCTCAAAGAATTTCGAAAGAAAATTTAAGTCTTTTGCTTCACCAATCATGCAACCTTCTATCCATGAATGCGGTCTAGGAGAGACACCGTCGGGAATACAGAGCAAGGAAAGCTTACTAGCCTGACAATCACCAAAATCCTCCTTAACACCCTTCATATCCTTCATAGCCTCAACATAGGATTTGAATCCGCCCGTCTTCTTTACATCATTAGATATATGAATAAAGGATCTCCTATCAACATTACATTCCACTTTGTTTGTAATGGGCTTATTTCTTTTAAACTTAGAGATATTAACCTTAAGATATTGCCCCATAACAACAACTTCTGAAAGTTTCTTCTCCATGAAAATCTCATTATGGACCTTAATGAACCTAGCAAAGCTAAACCTCAACCCAAGAGGAACCCTCTTTTGAGCAACATACACATCCACCAAACATCCAAGCTTTTGAAAAACCTTCCTCAGATACAAATCATTACACTCATCTGGAATATTGGAGATGAAAAAGCTAGTAGCAACATCTTCCACATCCTTATCAAGTGCCTTGCTAACCATCCCTTGACGAAACCTTCTCCTGCTCATGGTGGACTAACCACCCTCATCCCAAGTTCCGACGACTCTTCGACTCCCCATTTTGTTTCTCAAACTTGGATTCCACTCGTATAATTGTAACTTTAATGGAAAACAAAATTGGATGATTTGTTTCATGTCCTGTTAACTCCCCAATACCCATTTTTTAAAATGGTTTCCTTCTTTACCTATTTTCTGGAAAAAAAAGGTGTGGCTACTACTGAAACTTAAAGATCTTGGTAATCACTTTATTTGTTCAATACTTTGTTGGGTTTTCGTTCAAAAATAGTTTCATAAACTAGAAAAATATGGCAACGGAAGACTTTAATTTTGAAATAACAAAAACATTTTATACCCACCAAGGATATTCTTGCAAGTTATAAAGATTAAAACACCAACCAAAGAAGAGGTGAAGAAATAACAACCTTTGTAGTTCTCTGGGTCGTCTTGGGAGGCTTGGAAGTTGATGAAGAATGTTGAACCTTTGAGACACCAACAATGACTCAACTTGATGTAGATGCTAGTCCAAAACTCTTAAACTCTTAAGCTTGAAGTTCATAACCAATATGAACTTCAAGAGAGCAAAAGATATGCAAGTAATCTTCAATAATTCAAAGCAAAGAAGAGATGGAGAGTCTCCCATGGAGCTCTTGGCCATTGGAAGAAAGAATAGGAATGAACACACTTTCAAGAATGCAAGCCTCATATTTATATGCAAAAGTGAAGGTATTAACCATTAGTCCTTAGCACTTGAAGCAAACTTGTCCCCATTGTCATAAGCATGTCTCCCATGCCTTTAAAGCATGATTAGACAAGTCATACACTTCTTCTTTTTATGCATATCTCGAAAATTGCATAAAGAAGAAGAAAGAAAGTCAAACTTTTATAAAATATAAACCTTGTATTTTAGGAAAAAGACAAAAGGATTCAACTAGTCCAAAAGTTTGTACATGACTTATAAATCATACTATATGATATATATTCAGTTACTTGCTAATGGAATTTATTATTTCCATGAAATAAATAGTTTCCATATTAATTATAAGAGTTTTATTGAATATTTATTAAAATCAATTTCTAATAAATAATCAAATGTATCAAGTTGTTGTTAGTGTGACCCATTAGTATCATATGTAATTTAGCAATATCACTTTAATATGACTCTTGAGCATACTAGATCTTTCATACTTACCCTAACTGTGCAACCTAATAGGTTCAACCAATTATTGCACTAGCACGGCCTTTTATATGCATACAGACTCTAACAGTTATAAGTCGATGATGACAATAACACCAATCTATTATAAGTATACATACACTCTAACAATTATAAGCATTGTGGTGATCTCTTATTTTGTTTTCAATTTAGTCTTAAATACGATGAACGATTCAAAGTAGGACTAAAAATACAAAGGTTATATAACAAATTGGAAAAAAAAATACATAAAATACAAAGTAAATTACAAATATAGTCTCTACGATTTACTCAAAATTGTAAGTTTAGTCTAAAATTTAAAATTGTCTTGCTATTATACTTTAGTTTGCATTTAATTGCAGATATGGTGAATGTATTTTAAATAAAATTGCAATTTTAGCCAAAACTTTGAAGTAGTTCTATATTTGTAAATGATTATATCCACAACAATATGCAAACTTAAGGATAACATTGAGACAATTTCAAAAGTTGAACCGAACTTGTGATTTTGGTAAACACATAGACCAAATATGTAATTTACTTTGAACTATATGTGTTGGGTTTTTATTCAAAAATTTGTTTCCAAAACAAGATTTTAGCAATGGAAGACTTGAGTATTTTTGAACAATTATAAACTAGTTATAACCAACCATGGATCTTATGACATGGGCTTCCTTGATACGCATTGCGTGTCATAAACACGCATGTTGTAAGGTTACGACACGCAAATGCGTGTCATCTTCCTTTATGACAGGGCCTTCATTGATACACATTACGCGTCGTAAATGCGTGTCATAAATGTGCGTCGTAAATGCGCGTCGTCTATAGACGACGCGCAAAAGCGTGTCGTCTCTTGTTATGACAGTGCCTTCCTTGACACGCATTTGCGCGTCGTCTGAGCATTTTACGACGCGCATTGCGCGTCGTAAATGGCTGTTTTTCTAGTAGTGACCTTTGTAGACTTTGGATCCTCTAAGGAAGGCTTGGAAGTTGATGGAGAATGTGGAAACCTTTGAGACACCAACAATGCTTCAACTTAACTTGAAGATGCTAGTCTTGTAAGTAAAACTCTTAAGATTTGAACCAAACCCATGTATGGTTCTGTTAAATAAACAATAGTTTTCAAACTAAAACATGGCTTAATTGTTCTTAATATAATTTGTTATTTATGAAATGGTTTGGGTTATATGTATTGTGGTCTCAGGGTATTAAATCTCACAGGTTGAGTCCGGGTCTGGATAGTCCATGAATGTTAATTGGATTCTATATACTATACATCTTATCTTCCAGGTCATAAGATACATACACTCAAGCAACAGATCGTAGTTCTCTTTCAATCAAGGGTTTCATTGTTCTTGTTGTTCATCTGTATTCTTCAATTCTTGATAATTCTTGTGAGAGTAGATTTAGATGAGAGTAGTATAGGAATATGTAGTGAGGGTTTTTATGTAAAAAGTTGTTCAAACGAACTGATCTATCATTAATAAATAGATTGTTCATGTTGGGAAATTCATTTTGTCAAGTTGTTCATGGTATCAGAGCTTCGTTAGTTTGTCTGAACTGTTAATCGATCGTCGGTGTTCTCCGCTTTAATCGACGATGCTTTAAAGGTTAGGGTTTTGTCCCTTCTTCTTTTTACCATCTATTCTTTGAATCTTAGTCTGTTATCAACATTTGTTGTGTTGATCTAAAATTATGATCAGAATCTGTAGCTCTAACACCTTGGTGTTGATCTAGGGTTTCAGTCCTTTGTTCTTTATTTTGGTTTTTTAGATCTCGGTTACTGCGAGTTTGTGTTTTATTTGCAGGTTCGTTGCTTCGGTATTTGTTCAATCAATCGACGTTCGACGGAATCTGTAAAATCTGATTAACTCTTTAGAGAACGGAACCTAGAAGTTCTGAAATAACTCTGAAGAGAACATATTCATTCTTATCTGATAAACTCGTTTAGAGAACTGAACCAAGAAATCCTTATATTAACCTGAGAGGTCTGTCGTGTAATTTGCTGGTACGTGTCTCTAAGTCTTTTGTTGATTCTTCATTGCGGTTTGTCGAAGACTAAAATCTCTCACTGTAAGTCTTCTTTCTCTTTTCTGTCTGTTCAGGCTTGTTCCTGGTAGTCCGTGTTCTGACCTTTGTTTGTGGGTCTACTTACGCTCTCTCTGTTGTCTGTTGTTTTACCTTGAGGTTGTGTTACAGATCTTAGTTCACCATTTCATTGGCTGAATTTTCTGATTCTGTAACTCAGTTTCTTTTTTTGTGAGTGTTTTCTTTTATTGGTTCTTGATTGTTATTCATGACTGCTGGTGAGACTCCTGGTGGATCAGGGACGAAGTCCACTGAAACACCAGATGTTGATGATCCGTTGTATATTCATCCTACTGATACAGTTACTGGAACTATTATCACCTTCAAATTACTTGGAACTGAAAATTTTAGAGTTTGGAAAAGTGCTATGACTAGGGCTTTAAAAGCCAAAAATAAACTTGGATTTGTTGATGGAACTGTTAAGAAAGTTGAAAATGATCCCATTAAGTCTCTTAAGTGGGAAAGAGCCAATGTTGTCGTGTGTTCTTGGTTACTTGGATCTATTTCAGAGACCATTTATGCAGGACATGCTGGCTCTGAAAAGGCTATTGAAATTTGGAATGATTGAATGAAACTTATTTTAAATGTGATGGATCTGTTATTTTCAATATTCATCAAAGAATTAACTCACTAACTCAAAGTGGATTGTCTGTTTCAGACTACTATAACAAACTTGATTCCTTATGGAAGGAATTTGATGGGTTAACAAACTTAACTGAATATGTTTGTGCTGCCTCTACCCCACTGATTAATCACTCTAAACTTATGAAACTCATGTAGTTTCTAAGTGGTCTTGATGATTGTTACAATCAAGTCAAAAGTCATATTCTTTTAACTGATCCTCTTCCAAATGTTAGAAATGCTTTTGCAATTATTTCGAGAGAAGAATCTTTTCAGAAAAATGGTTCTATGTCCAATACTTCCAATAACAGCAAATCTCAAACAACTGTTGTTTTTAATAGTAAACTCAATGATAATAAAAGGAACAGAGGTCCTAATCAAGGACTTCAGTGTAAACATTGTGGTATAAAAGGTCATACTATAGAAAAATGTTACAAGCTTGTCGGCTATCCCAAAGATTTCAAACCCAGAAATAGTGGTAATAGGTTTTCTAATAACCATAACAACAATATTTTTTCTAATCAAAATAGTTCTGAAAGATCCTTCTCTGGGAACAATGTTGTTTCTTCTAACACTGATACTTGTTCTTCTAGTGTTAATGTTTCTGATTTTAGATCACTCACTCAAGAACAATTCACCAAGCTACTTCAGCTTATTGGTGATAAACAATCCATGGATGAAGTAACTGTCAGTGCTAATATGGCAGGTACTTCATGCAATTCTTTTTTTACAAATTCCTTTAAATCTGATAAATGGATTGTGGATTCAGGAGCTAATCAACATATGACATCCTCAGAATCAAATTTAAATGATCTTGTTAATGTGTCAAACCTTAATCTCAGAGTGGATCATCCCAATGGATCTACTGCTAAAACCCAAAAAATTAGAAATTTGAACTTATCAAATAAACTCACTTTGTTTGATGTCTTTGTGGTCCCTGAATTCAATGTTAATTTGTTGTCTGTTCACAAGTTATGTAAGGATAGTAAATGTAAGGTTCTTTTTGATGAATATAATGTATGGTCCAGGACTCACAGTCCATGGTGACTAGTAATGAGGGAGAGGGACTTTATTACCTCAATAGTACTCCTTCAGGCAAGTCTTCCTG